TTATTGAGCCAATGAAATGCATGAAACAGACCATGCAAGCTTTCAAAGCTTCACTGGCTTCTTCCTTAAGGAGGTTAAACCCAGTAGATTGGAACCCAGTGGAAGTGTTGCATTTCTCTTTGAATAGCAGGGACTTCTCTCAACATCTTCACCCAATGTCACAACAATATGATCCCAAGAGAGAAGGAATAAGGAGAAAGCACAGAACTTTAACTGACTGAGCAAAATCAACAGTAGCAAGTTGGGAATGGAAGAAACCATATGATCTAAGTTGCCCACTGTTTTGGGACCTCATAAGAAGATATCACTCTCCGTCTCTGGAGTTTCTGCACTCTTAATTTAAGGACAGAGGGAAAACTCATGCCCCTGGTATTGAAAACATTTTAGAAACCCCATCATAAGAACTCTGCTGCTTGCTGGGAGCTTTTTTAACCTCCAGCAACAGTAGGCATAGAGTTTCTTAGGGCATACAGAATCCCCCTTTGTCATCAGCTCAGTCTCATCTCCTAGGCTTAAACATGCCTCCCATCACCTTTCAAGAGAAAAGGAGGGGGATTTGTATATGAAGGGTATTGCTCTTATTGACTCCATTTTTTAATATTAAACAGGTGGGACTTGGTGGCCCCCATGTTGACACTCCTAAGTCCATTAATGACCCCTTGTGACATTGCTTCAATTTATGCTTTGAAAGGAAACTGGCTGCCTTATGAGTCAGGGGCCAGAGAGAATATTGCTTATATTAAAGAGCTGCATAAAAAGAACATCAGCCCTGACCCGCTGAGGCAAAGTTGATCGCTCCGAACAATATTTTCAACTCTAGCAGTAAAGAAGAAATAATATTTTGAAATGTCTGGGCTTCCTTCCAGCCGGAAAAGGTTGCAAGATCCCAGTGTTTGTATAGGTAAAGCTAATAGGTCCTTAAATTTAGCTAGGAGCCAAAGGGACCAGAGCCCAATTCCAGATGAAGCTTTGCAGAAAGAAACCATAGAATTACAATAGTCCCAGACTACTTTCTTGCCCCTTAATGTGTTGTTAAACATTGGCTCACAGCTGGCTGCACAGCAGTTGACTTGTCAGTAACTCAAGTCTCTTGGATAGGAAAGGATTACTGCTATCAGTAAACGTGTTAAATGTTACTTTAAAAAAAGTTTAATTACTTTTTAAGGAAACTTATGCTCTCCAATTGTCCTGAATTGGCAGGAACATTCATCCTCTGCCATCCCACTTTTGATGATGTACATCTTTTTATTCCATAATTACACCTCATAAAACCATTAGTATGGACATCAACCTAACAAACATCCACATAAATATCATTTTCTCATACATCATACATTGTTCATCTACCCTAAATTTCTATTCCACTTTAACTCAGTCGTATACCTTATCTTATACCTTCTCCTATTCCTCTTATCCCCTTTGTCATATATTCTTTATTTCTCCTTTCCTTCTTCTTTCTCTTTCTCTGTCATCCCACTTTTTCAGCTGCTTTTAAAATGTCCCAGTTTCTCTTTCCTCCACCCACTTCCCCCCTTTGTCCTTGGCTTGCGCCACACTCTGATTTTGCTTGGCCATATGTGTCCCAGTTTACATTTGCACAATGTTGGTGGATATATTATTAGCACACCTGCTGCTGCCCTATTGCTACTTCAAATTGTCATTGTATACCTGTTCTTAGGACCAAGCCCCATCAAATTCACTTTCATTGTGCATTGTTCCTATATACCTTCAAGTTGACCCCAACTTGTGGTGACCCTGACATAGGTTTAGCGTCAACACAGAGATGTTGGACTGAGCTGTACGGGTTAAAAAAAAGTAGGCCACCATTTGTAGCTACCAATGGTCAGATGAAAAATGGCCAAACCTCATGATCAGCAGGACTATAGGCCTAAGCAGACTGCCAGAAATAGTGCACATTAAATTGAGGCACTGCCCTGGCTCAGTGCTAGCGAATCGTGGGAATTGTATTTTTTTCTGGGACATTGAGCCTTCTCTGTGAGAGAGATCTGGTGCCACAATAAATTACAGTTCCCATGATTCCCTAGCACTGAGCCAGGGCAGTGCCTCAATTTAATGTTCACTATTTCTGGCAGTCTGCTTAGGCCCTATATAAAGTCCACATAAGCAAAACCTACCAAATCTCCATGGTAAGTTTCCACCAGTTTACACTAACACAATTACAGTAAGGTGGGAATAAGAAAGAGAAGGACTCATCATTTTATGATTTAGAGACAAAGCAAGCTTTAATGAGAAAAAAATGAAATTAATTACAAGTAGATTTACTTATCTTCCAAAACATATCAATGTGTATTTCTCTGTATGCAATTAACCTCATCAATGACCCATCCAACTCTCCATAAATTTGCAAAAAGCCTGGATTTTCTCAATATTATTTTGTACACAGAAAAAAAATTACAGCCTGTTTTCCATGAGATATCATCATGGATCTTACTTCAAACACCTGGTGGAGTCTGTATCTTGTTCTGAAGAGTGTTTCTGATTAGGATCCTACTTTGGGAATTTGTTTTTGCTAGAGCAACTGTGTTGTTATTTCACCATAGGCCATTACAATAATAAAATTATAACAAGTTAAAATGGAACACATAACCATAAAAACTGTCAGTGGGGAAGCAAAAGCACCTAATTAAACATGTCCTTACGTGTTTGCAGCATCCCTCATGAAGACTGGAGACATATGGCAAGCACCGTTGCTTCCTTACAGTATCTTTTGAAATGTCAAACTGTCACACGAGTAAGAGTGTATCTAGACCACATTTTAATAGTGTATTCATACCACTTTAAATCCTATGGCTCCCTCTTATGGAGTCCTGGGATTTGTAATATGGTGAGGTACTTAGATTTCTCTGCTAGATAATTTTAGTACATTAGATTTCTCTGCTAGATAATTTTAGTACATTATCCTGAACTATAGCTGAGAATCCTTAGAACTGTGATGGCGAAGCTATGGCATGTGTGCCAGAGATGGCACGCGAAGCCATTTCCCCCAGAACACAAAGGGTGGGGAGAAGGAGGAAGAAGTTCCTCCTCATTCTTGGCCTTTCAAGGCCTTCATCTGCCTCTCCAGAGGCAGCTGAAGGCTAGGGATGGTGCAGGGGGAGAGAGCAGGGGGAGAGAAGAGGTGCTCTCCTGTTCCTCTTCTTCCCCCTTGCCCCCTCCGGGCCTTCAGCTGTCTCTGGAGAAGCAGCTGAAGGCCCAGGAGGATGGGGGGGGAAGAAGTCCCACCCTGGAAGTCCCACCCAGTGATGGAAGGCCTTTTAGTTTAGGCACTCAGCCCCCAAAAAGGCTTGCCATCACTGCCCTAGTATCAGAGTTGGAAGGGACCGGAAGAACCATCTAGAGTGCATGTACACTGTAGAAATAATGCAGCTTGACACCACTTTAACTGTCCATCCCAAAGAAACCTGGGATTTGTCATATTGTGAGATGCCAGCATTCTTTGGTGGAGAAGGCTAAAGAGTTTCTAAAACTACAGACCCCAGAGCTCCATAGGATGGAGCTACAGCACTTAAAGTAGTGTCAAGTTGCATTATTTCTACAGTGTAGATGCACCTCTAGATAACAATTTTAAAAGTCCAGGAGTCTAGTTCTTTTTTGCATCTTAAATCATCTCTTTCTCCATGCAGCTGATAGCACTTTTGATTTGGTTCCACACACAAACACACACATACACACACATACCCTGCAAGGCATTAGCCTAGCCTGTTTGAGTAGCAGCTCCCGAACACACAGTGCAATTTAAAGATATTGGCAGTTGGCTTTCAATAATTCCCTGTTAGATTACTGTCTGCGGAAGAGTATATAACACAACAGCTACAAATGCTTGGAGCAAAATCTTCAATAACAACTCCATACTTATGATAACTTTCCCAATTTCCGGCATCGACACCACCCCTCTCTCTTTACTCCGCTCTGTAGCAGCTTGTTTCTATATTGAACATCTGCCTTGGGAATGTCTGTCACAAAAAGTAATAAACACATCAATCCAAGAGAAGGGATATTGTGTTGTTACCCTTCCTCCCCTCCTTTCCCAATTCCTTTCCCCTTCTCCACAACCCTTCAACACACACACACAAAACTCCTTAACCAATCAAACTGGCAGCTGGCAGCATGAAACTAAAGAGAATAAACTCGGAGGTGTATTTCGATGCTGGACGGTTCCAATGACCCTCCACACCTGCTGCCATTTTGCCCACTCAAACTGCCAGCACGATTTTAATAAGTTAATTACCATTGGAAGTGCCAATTATGAATTTCATCCTTTGTTTGCAAGCATCAAGCAATGGGATTAATTTGTTAAGCTGCTATCTAGCCAATATTTTGACAGCAATTCCTTTGATTTCATGGAGAGCTGCAGAAAATAAAGAGGAACTCTCTTGGAGAAGTGGTGGCGGTGGGGAGGGGAGACCACCCTCTTTAATGAAATATAAGGGAAAAGAGCAATAAGCATTGCCTTGTAGCTTATTACCAACAGACCCACGACATGTATAAGTGACAGTAATTACTCATTGTTCTCAGGATTTCCCCCCCCCCTCGGGCTTCGGCAAACATGATGATGACTTCTGAAAGGAACAACAAAAGCAATTTACCATTGCCACTTCCCCTAATATAAATATCCATAGATTACCTGAACACAGCATAGATCAAATCTAATCTTGCCACACGGCTCCTTGTAAATTACAGATTACATTTTTCTAAGGTGTGTAGCGTTTGACATTCTAGTGTTTTTTTAAAAAACAAGAGGAGTCTTAAATGAGAAGGAAATGTGCTTTGTTGGCTTCATAGAAAGAAACAATGCCTGATCAGTGAAACAAAATCCAAAAGTGAAACTGTCTAGTGGCATCTTTGAAAGCAAACAAGCAACAGTTTTCATTCTGCTTTGATACTCTGGTTAAGTAATACAGACATCTTGAAATCTGTGAGTAACATGTATGACCAGAATCCTGTTGGTGACATATGTATGTGTAAATTGCACTATGAAAGCCAGAGTGATGTAGCGGTTTGGATGTTGGACCAAGGCTCTGAAGACCAGGGTTCGAATCTCTGCTCAGCCATGGAATCCCACTGGGTGACCTTGGGAAAGTCACACTCTGTCAGCCTCAGAGAAAGGCAAAGGCAAAGAACAAATCCTATGAAGATTTGCTTTTATGGTTGAGTGAGGATTCAAACCCTGGTCTTCAGAGCTGTAGTCTAATGTTCAAACCACTACATCATATGTTGTTGTTGTTGTTGTTGTTGTTGTTGTTGTGTGCCTTCTAACTTATGGTGACCCTAAGGTGAACCTACCATGCAGTTTTCTTGGCACATTTGTTCAGAGGAGGTTTGCCACTGTCATCCCTTGAGGCTGAGAGAGTGTGACTTGCCCAAGGTCACTCAGTGAGTTTTAGGGCCGAGCTGGGAATTGAACCCTGGTATCCAGTCACAGTCCAAAGCTCGAACCACTATGCCAACTTGCAGAGCCTTTTCTGGCAACTTGCAGAGCCTTTTCTGAGGACCCATTCCAACAGCTGCTGATTGTAAACAAGAAAGTCACTGCTGAGATGGGAGTCTTTTCTTCAGCTTTAGAAACAGTAATAACAGGAATGAGTGATTGCATGCTAATTCTACCCCAGTTTTCATCTGTGAAGTATTGGAGGGTCCAAACTACTTAGAGTTTGTGTGATGCAGACTACCAAATCCCCAGTCAGTAGATTCCACCTCCGCATAATAAATCCATTTTTTGAATTCTAAAATTTAAAAGTGACTGCTTACAGCTCAGCTCATATTTTGAATATGCCACTAGATCTAGGTTGGGGGATTTGCCATTTTCCACCACCAAGCCACCAACATTTCCAACACCAAGCCACCACAATAACTGATGTCTGTATTTAATATATATTTTAA